GTGTGTCTGTGTGTGTGTGTCTGTGTGTGTGTGTGTGTCTCTGTGTGTGTCTGTGTGTGTCTGTGTGGGTCTGTGTCTGTGTGTGTGTGTGTCTCTGTGTGTGTATGTCTCTGTGTGTGTGTGTCTGTGTGTGTGTGTGTCTCTCTGTGTGTGTGGCTCTGTGTGTGTGCCTGGGTGTGTGTGTGTGTGTCTGTAAGTGTGTGTCTCTGTGTGTATGTCTCTGTGTGTGTCTCTGTGTGTGTCTGTGTGTCTCTGTGTGTGTGGCTCTGTGTGTGTGTCTCTGTGTGTTGTGGCCGTGTGGTGTCTGCTGTGTGTGTTTGTTGTGTCTCTGTGTGTGCTCTGTGTATGTCTGGTGTGTGTGTCTCTGTGTGTGTGTGTGTCTCTGTGTGTGTCTGTGTGGTATGTGTGGGTCGTGTCTGTGTGTGTGTCTAGTGTTTGTGTATATATGTGTTGTGTCTCTGTGTGTGTGTGTCTCTGTGTGTGGTGTCTGGTGTGTGTCTCTGGTGTGTGCGTCTCTGGTATGTGTGTCTGTTTGTGTGTCTTGTGTGTGTCTTGTGGTGTCTGTGTGTGTGTCGCTGTGTGTGTGGTCTGTGTGTGTGTTCGGTGTGTGTATGTGTGTGTGTCTTGTGGTGGTCTCTGTGCGTGTGTGTATCTGTGTTGTCTCTGGGTGTGTGGTGTGTGTCTGTGGTGTGTGTGTCTCTGTGTGTGTGTCTCTGTGGTGTCTCTGTGTGTGGTTTGTCCTTGTTGTGTGTATCTGTTGTGGTGTCTCTGTATGTGGTCTCTGTGTGTGTGTCTCTAGTGGAGCAGATGTGTGGTCTCTGTGTGTGTCTCTGTGTGTGTGTGTCTCTGTGTGTGGCGCGTGTGATGTGTCTATGTGTGGTTGTCTCTGTGTGTGTGTGTCTCTGTGTGTGTCTCTGGTGTGTGTGGCCCGTTGTGTGTGTGTCTCATGTGTGTGTGTCTATGGTGGTGTCTATGTGTGTGTGTCTACGTGGGTGGGTGTGTGTCTCTCTGTGGCGTGTGTCTCTGTTGTGTGTATCTGTGTGTGTGTCTCGGTGTGTGGTCCTGTGCTTTTGTCTTTGTGTTGGTGTCTCTGTGTGTGTGCTGTGTGTGTGTCTCTCTGTGTGTGTCTCTGTGTGTGTCTCGGTGTGTGTGTATGTCTGTGTGTGTGTCTCTGTGTGTGTGTCTCTGTGTGTGTGTGTGTGTCTCTGTGTGTGTGTCTCTGTGTGTGTGTCTCTCTGTGTGTGTGTCTCTCTGTGTGTGTCTGTGTGTGTGTCTGTGTGTCTCTGTGTGTGTGTCTCTGTGTGTGTGTGTCTCTGTGTGTGTGTCTGTGTGTGTGTCTCTGTGTGTTTGTCTGTGTGTGTCTGTGTGTGTGTGTCTCTGTGTGTGTGTGTCTCTGTGTGTGGCTCTGTGTGTGTGTGTCTCTGTGTGTGTCTCTGGGTGTGTCTGTGTGTGTGCGTCTTTGTGTGTGTGTTTGTCTCTGTGTGCGTGTTTCTCTGTGTGTATGCGTGTGTGCGTGTCTCTCTGTGCGTGTGTCTTTGTGTGTGTGTGTCTGTGTATGTGTGTGTCTCTGTGTGTCCCCGCGTGTGTCCCCGATGATGTCCCCGCGTGTGTCCCCGCGTGTGTCCCCGCGTGTGTCCCCGCGTGTGTGTGTCTGTGTGTGTCTGTGTGTGTCTGTGTGTCTGTGTGTCTGTGTGTCTGTGTGTCTGTGTGTCTGTGTGTCTGTGTGTCTGTGTGTCTGTGTGTCTGCGTGTCTGCGTGTGTGTGTGTGGCTGTGTGTCTGTGTGTCTGTGGTCTGTGTGTCTGTGTGTCTGTGTATCTGTGTTGTGGGTGTCTGGCTGTGTGGGTGTATATGTGTGTGTGGTGGATGTCTGTGTTGTGTGTCTGTGTGTGTGTCTGTGTGTGTGGTAGGTGTATGTGTATGTGTGCTGTGTGGTGTCAATCGGTGTGTGGGTGTGTCTGTGTGTGTGTGTCTGTGGGTGTGTGTCGTGGTGTGTGTCTGGTGTGTGTGTCTGTGTGTGTCTGTCTGTGTGTGTGTCTGTGGGTGTGTCTGTGTTGTGTGTGTGTCTGTGCTGTGTGTGTGTCTGTGCTGTGTGTGTCTGTGCTGTGTGTGTGTCTGTGCTGTGTGTGTGTCTGTGCTGTGTGTGTGTCTGAGCTGTGTGTGTGTCTGTGATGTGTGTGTGTGTGTGTCTGTGCTGTGTGTGTGTGTCTGTGCTGTGTGTGTGTCTCTGCTGTGTGTGTGTCTGTGCTGTGTGTGTGTGTGTCTGTGCTGTGTGTGTGTGTGTCTGTGCTGTGTGTGTGTCTGTGCTGTGTGTGCTGTGTGTGTCTGTGCTGTGTGTGTGTCTGTGCTGTGTCTGTGTCTGTGCTGTGTCTGTGCCTGTGTGCCTGTGTCTGTGTGGCTGTGTCTGTGTCTGTGTCTCGCCACGCGACCGTCGGGTCTGTGTGCCTGTGTCTGTGTGTGGTCTGTGTGTAGTGTGTCTGATTGTGTATGTGGTTTGTCTGTGTTGTGTGTCTGTGTGTTGTGTATGTGTAGTGCCAAACGGTTCTGTGTGTGTCTGTGCTGTGTGTGTGTGTCTGTGCTGTGTCTGTGTGTGTGCTGTGTGTGTCTGTGCCTGTGTGCCTGTGTCTGTGTGGCTGTGTCTGTGTCTGTGTCTGTGTGCCTGTCTCTGTGTGTCTGTGTCTGTGTGTCTGTGTCTGTGTGTCTGTGTGTGTGTCTGTGTGTGTGTCTGTGTGGGTGTGTCTGTGTGTGTGGGTGTGTCTGTGTGTGTGTCTGTGTGTGTCTGTGTGTGTCTGTGTGTGTCTGTCTGTGTGTGTGTCTGTGGGTGTGTCTGTGTTGTGTGTGTGTCTGTGCTGTGTGTGTGT